TTACTCATTCGCTACGCCGAGCCGTGGGGGGGGGGGGGGGACGGCGCGGCTAAAGTGCCGTCAGTATGCTAAGCCGTCCCCGGCGGCTCGAGAACCGATCTTAAATTTTAGCTTAGATTCTATTCCAGTCCACATATCCATGTTAAAATGAAGGTCATAATATAATGTTGACTTGCGGGTAAAGCATTTCCACTGAAAATCGGAAATTTAGATTCAGTTTTGAAACGCGATTTCATAGCTTATTCGACTTTGTTTTACCGCGATGCCAAAATTATAGCCCGGACACCAGTCTTAGTAATTTTACACAACAAAATCTATCATTATTTTGCCCACTAAAGAAATGCAGGACTCTTTTTTATAATATTGATACGATTGGACTCCTATTGCCAATGCACTGTTATTGAGATATCAATATTTTTGAGTGCTTGATCTAGGTCTAGATCTAAATAGTCAAAATATTTTTTTCTCCCCAAAATCACTACTTTTTGATGAAATTACACAAAAAGTGCCGCTCAAGGCATGTATAGGTTTATTTCAAATGCAATTCTGAATAATTCCATATAAGATACGAGTGGGGGGTTTTTCTGTTTGTGATCGTTTTTCAAGATTATGAAAATTAATTTTTTTTTTTTCAATATCGGATGTTATGTTCAAAATGTACAAATATTATGGAATGTAGATAAATAACTGCAAACTTTTCAATGTTTTCCAGTTCTATATTCATTTATGGTTATTTTGATGTATCATTTGACTAGGTGCAAACAAATTTTCTGAGTTTCACCAAGATTATTATTTTTTTTTCTTCAAATTTTATGCGTATCCAATCAAAATTGTGTTGCATAATCGTCTCTTACAGACACCAAAGTTGAAAAATACATAAATAAACATTACAGGTGTATTCTACAAACCATACTGAAAATATTGGTATATAATATGTTGATTTTGATTTGAATTTGTTGCCCCAAAGACCTTTTAACTGCCCACTAGTCATCATCTCATTCGCCTTCCCGAAAAAAAATTCGTCCACAAGCCGAAAATAATACGTAGTGAATGAGTTAAGGGATCGCTACATCTCAGAAAGGACTTCCATCTTTAAGATTGGATGGAAAGCCCATTTAACTTTCCACAGTCCAACTTTCAGATACGGATTTCAACCCAAGGTATCTTAATTGTATAGAGTATTAAGCTTTTTGGAGGTACTTTACCTGTAGTGCTGACCACCACGTTGTTTCCCCAGCTGTCCAACAAGGTGTCCCAGACAATCGCTCGATGCGTGCGGCAGAACTTCCCAGGTGTCTCTCTCCAGCAGGACAGCCTCAAGGAACCTGATGGGGCCGCCATTGGCTCAGGCCTGGGCACAATGTACGTAGATAGTCTCACCTCTTTACTTTGACACACGTGTGTCATTTTCTTCTTTAACTTTTTATCTCCGAGGGGAATAAACCCACTGCGTCGGGGCCCTTTTTTGGTACTAAATTTAATAATGACAAAAACATCTCTAAATGGGTCATTAACACATTACACCCTAAGGGCCTGGACGGGGAGTCCATTGTTAGATCCTAAGCAAGGGGAAGGAACCCGCCTCCCGTGAATACAAGCCTTAAAAAAACACATTTTAAAAATACTAAATAAATTCCAAAAATCCTGAAAAAATAACAGTTAAAACGAAAAATGAATGTAGTTTCAGAAAAATATAACTTTATGTAAGCGCAAACTGTTGGAAATGCTCTAACTTTAGTTCAATCGGGGTGTCCGACCCGTCACTCACTCTCAGCCTCCCGGTCGGGCCCTAGATCTAAATTCTAGATTTTCTACGTCTGATCAATCGGAATCGCCCCAAACTCTTGCTACAACATTTTCATCAAAATCTGAGTCATCTGATTTGTCATATGCTTGTTTTTGTTCAAATCCATCATTATTTCCTTTTTCAAACTCAATTGTGTCGCTTTTCAACAAGTCGAGACACCTACGAAGTGTCGGTAACACGATTGCGCTTCATTCGGCTCTAATATTAAAACTACCTGCCTGAAAAATTTTGTTTCGGTATCAAACGAAAGAAGAAACTTTTTGCAATAACTATGCAAATCAAAATCTCGGCCTCAGAGTCTCGTCAAGGCGAGACTTTGTTTCTAAAGACGCTAGGTCGGCGCGGGCGGTTCCGGGCGAGTCAGGGTGGAGCGCGTAAGGGAATTTGCAGGTGGTCCCGGGCGAGTTAGGGTGTAATGTGTTAAATTTTAAAAAACAAACTATTTTGATAGTTCTTCATCTAATGACTGAACTCCTCATAATAGAGACCTATTTTCAGCAATTGTCGAAAAGTAATTTGATATTGAAGTCATCGTAAAGGAATGTACCCCAGTACCCCAGTGGCTCACCGGCACAGCAGTTCTGATCACGAGCCTCTGGG